AAAGGAGGAGATTGGGGGAACAGGAGAACACGGGGTAATGACACGACTTTCGCCTTTCTTCTCATAGTCAATATGGGCGAAAGTCTCAGGCAGGTGATGCAGTGCCTCGCTCAAGGTCACAGGCTGAGGCAGACTTCTCAAGAGTTACCACACACTGCAATACTCGTAGAGATTGTTACTCACTCCAAGCTTGCAGAACTTCTAGCACACGTGTCTTGGAGTGAAAGACGAATTTTCAGTGTGTGGACACCTGGGTTACCAACTCACGTAGGACTGCACGCTCGTCGTTATTCCTCAGATTGGTAAAGCGATGAGTTGTGAGCATTTTGAGAGGCACGAGTAGTTGGGCTTAGGAATTGGAATGATGAGGCTGTTGGTCCAAGATTGAGGGAGCTCCCCCAGTTACATAGCTCATGTTATATAATTCAAGTAATGGATTACCTGGTACTCGACACAGCAATCTGAGTATGTTGTAAGTAATACCATCCTCACCAGGCGACGTGAAGTTGCCCTTAGTTAGTGCTGCATCAAGTTCATAATTAGTGAAAGGAATGTTGCAGTCATCTGCCTTGCCGAGCATAAAGCAAACAAGTCTCTCCCTTGCATCATATTTGTCATTTAATTTTGCCTGTGTGGTACTGGGAAGATTGTCATAGCTAGATGTAGCAGCCCAAGCACTGACTAACTCATTCGCCCTATGCAAGGGATGAGGGTGCGCGATCAGCCCAGTTCTGTTACCCTTAATTCTATTTATGTCTCTCCATGCCCGGCTAAGTGGGGTGTGAGCATTAAGACTGTTGACAAATTTTTCCCAGTCTGTTTGCCGCAGCTCTGTCATACGCTCTCTGGCAGCAGCAAGGGCAGTTTGGAAGAGCCTCAGCATTCCAGGGGTACGATGTTTTCTATAGGCTAGGCCTAGTCTGCGAGCAGTACGTTTCAGTGTACGAAGTTTAGAATCATTGTAATAAGTATGGTTTCTGAAGGAGGTATGATTATTATGGAAGTTTGTTGGGTTTAGAGTACCAAGAGGTTGCAGTGGCGGCTCTAAGTAGTTCTGAATACTGCTCACAAGGTCATTGTTAAAGGTCTCTACTGAGGAACACTCATAGGAATTGTACCAGTCAGTCACATGTGCAACACTGGTCCACTAAGAGAAAACACAGTAAGTGTCCGGAGCCCAAGACTGTTCAACAGCCTCCCACTAGCAATAAGGGGCATTACGGGAAGACTCCTGGTTGCCTTCAAGAGGGAGCTGGACAGATACCTAAAGACGGTGCCGGATCAGCCAGGCTGTGGCTCGTACTTTGGATTGCATGCGGCCAGCAGTAACAGCCTCGTTGATCAGGCCCTGATCCACCGGGAGGCCTGGTCGTGGATCGGGCCGCGGGGGCATTGATCCCCGGAATGCCCTCCAGTTTGTTTCAGGATGCAACCCACATCAGTCCACTAACTCCCAGATACCCATTTTACTGATGGATGAACATGGATAACAGGTGTTAAGAAACACGCCCAATATTTCTACCCTCGCTGGGAATCGAACCCTGACCCTCGGTGTGTGAAGCGAGAGCTTTAGCCACCAGGCCATGGGGCACCGTAGCTCGATTGCTAGCGTACCCATCAATATAAAATGGGTACTTGGGTGTTAGTGGACTGGTGTGGGCCGCATCCTGGGACAAAACTGGCCTAATTTGAGAGAAATGTTAAGCATAACAAGGGGCTTTCTATATAGTAGTCCCCTCAAGGAAGGTTCCTTGATGTTGGTGAGGGGCTCTTGATTTAGGGAATTGAATCTGTGCTCCAGTTCCCCGAATTAAGCCTGAATGCCTTCCACATCCCTCCCCCCCAGGTGCTGTATAATCCTCCTGGTTTAGCGCTTCCCCCTTGATTATAATAATAATAATAATCTATATAATAGTATGTCATTGATGTCAGCTATGGTCTGTATACCTTGTACATGAACTGGTAGTAAATATTATTATTATTATTATTATTATTATTGTTTTATTATTATTATTATATACATTATTATTATTATTTATTATATACATTATTATTATTTATTATTATATACATTATTATTATTTATTATTATATACATTATTATTATTATTTATTAATTATCATTATTATTATTATTATTATTATTATTATTGTTATTATTTGCGTGAATTTTTGTTGGGGGTGGGGAGTATTAATTAGTAGGAAGTGTTGTAGGTGTGAGTGTCAACATTGGAGGAAGTGTTGTAGGTGTGAGTGTCAACATTGGAGGAAGTGTTGTAGGTGTGAGTGTCAACATTGGAGGAAGTGTTGTAGGTGTGAGTGTCAACATTGGAGGAAGTGTTGTAGGTGTGAGTGTCAACATGGAGAAGTGTTGTAGGTGTGAGTGTCAACATTGGAGGAAGTGTTGTAGGTGTGAGTGTCAACATTGTAGGAAGTAAACAAAGATGGCGGGGGAGGAGTACTTTGCTGCTCAAGGTTCTCTCAAACTTAAAGGAGTAGAAGACTCGGGAATTAAGAAGTAAGTTAACTTTCGACTCTAGCTTAACACTTGAGCTTGTAGAGATGGAGAGAGTGACTATTGTGAGTTTATAAGTAATGTACATAGGGAACAGTGTAGTAAAGAGAGGGAATGCCAGACTGAAGTTCCTCTATAGATAATAATATCTTTATTTACTACATGTACAAGGTATACAGACCATAGTTGACATCAATAACAAATTACGATATAAAAAGCAGCTTGTTATGCTGAGCATTTCCCGCAAATTAGGTCAGTTTTGCCCCCAGGATGCGACCCACACCAGTCCACTAACACCCAGGTAAAGATAAAGATTTATTTCTTTGTAAAGGTTACAGTGTGTAATTGCAATTTTGGTTTGCCAAGCACAAAGCCACTATCATGCTAGGGCATTCCGGGCAGAACGTGGACAGTGGGTGTCTTTAGGAAACACATCTTAATGTTTTCCAGCCGTACTGGGGATTCGATCTCCGTTCGATCACGAACGCAAACACGGACCACTGAACCATGGACACGCTGAGTATCAGTGGTTCAATCCCCATCAAGGGTGGAAACATTGGGTGTGTTTCCTCACTCCTGTTGTCCCCGTTCACCTAGCAAGCAAGTAGGTACTTGGGTGTTAGTCGACTGGTGTGGGTCACATCCTGGGGAACAAGATTGAAGGACCTCCAATGGAAATAAGACAGACAGTCCTTTATGATGCACTGCCTTTCTTGGGTTATCCTGCGTGGCTAATCCTCCAGGGTTAAAAATCCAAACAAACTTATTTTATCTTATCTGGGTCTAAGAGAGCATGTAGGCCAGCAGCTGGATATGCTGAATGTTGAAGACAGTAAAACAACTAAAGTTAAGTTTGTTGGCAGTTTCTGTAACTTAGTTGTTTTAACTTTTAAGGTTTAAATAATAAGATATTACAAGGACCCTAGTGGAAATAAGCCACTTTGTCTGATTGACTTTTTTTTTTTTTTTTTAGGCTATCCTAGGTAACCTACACATATACTGCTATGTAAGACAATTTATGTAAATTATTTGTACCTGTACCTGAATAAACTTGCTTGCCTACTTACTGCTAGGTGAACAGGGACAGCAGGTGTAATAATCTTTATTTTCACAAGTACATGATACTACCTAGTTGACATTGGCATATAGAAAGTCCCTGATTATGAAGAGCAGTATGAGCAACTTAAGTTAATTTTGTCCCCCAGGATGCCACCCACAACAGGTACCTACTTACTGCTTGGTGAACAGGTAGCAATCAGGTGAAGGAAAACATGATATGTTTCACCCATGCCAGGACTCCATCTCAGATACCCTCAATGTGGGAGCTGAGTAAGTTGTCAACCAAGAAGGGCAAGCCGGATTAGGGCACTTGCCTGGTTGAGGGAGGCGCGCGATGGGCAGACGTTAATGTTGAAGTGTGAGCGTGAGGCGATGAAGTGTATATGAGAGTGGTGTGTGGCTTTATTCTTGAATGGTGATTGAGTCGGAGTGGCACATAGGAATTGGCGTTCGTTAGATACTATAAAGAGACTAGCCGGATTGATTATTCGCTCCTACGACGTAGTTGCGGAGGGGGGGGGGGGGGGGTCGAGGTGTGACACAAATATGGATATGTACTCAGCTCATCCTCTCGGGACTATAAACCCTTCCTGGGCTTAGTGCTTCCATATGATTTTTATAATAATCCTTCAAATGGGGTGAATACATTTGATTTACATTTCTCTAATCAATCCCTACCTCCACCTATGTGAAGAATGTATTAGTGTCACACACAAAATTCCTACTTCACCTATGTAAGGTAAGATGTTTTTTTGCTTGTAGATGGTCTAATTCAATCAATTCAATCAATTCAATTCAAACTTTATTCTCTATAATTTTACAATGCCTGATTTTACAGAATTTGTTATTGTGTGGTTTACATTGTAGTAAGAATAATAATTACAGATGACCACTAGACCGCCTAGCAGGGTAGGCATTTCGGGCAGACTAATGTTCAATCTTAGGTTAAAATGTTACAGAATTATGAATAAGTTGGTATTATGCCTAAGTGACGAAATAACTAGTTGTGAGTTTAGCAGTTGGAATGCTTTTGTTTTGGCACTAATACATAGTTTCAGTATTGGAGTATCACCGGCCAACTTTGACTAGTTAAGATTCATTATTTTGAGATTGAGATTGATAATCTGTTTAAGGTCAAATGGGTGATTGAGTGTAAGTGTGAAACCACCAGGTGGTATTTCGTATTATTAGTTGACAGGGTGTATCAGGAGATAAGATGTTTTCTGATGGTAGTTTTTTGAAGGTGGGATGAATGAGTCCTGCGTTTTGGAATTTTCAGGTAGGGTGTTCCAGATTTATGGCCTTTGCCATACATTAGAATTTGTTAAAGTTTAGTCGGACACGGGAATGTCATAGAAGATGTTTTTGTGTTCTGGTGGTTTGCCTGTGGGTTCTGTCACAACTATCAAGAAAGCGTTTTTAGGTTAAGTTTAATATTGGAATATAAGGTCCTGTAGATGTAATTCAAAGTAGTAAGTGTGGATGTACTGAACAGGAGTAATTTAGATCTATGAAGAGTGGGGGGGGTGTGTGCCAGGGATGGGATATTAGTGATTATTCTTACGCGGCTTTTTGTTGGGTTATTATTGCTTTAGTGGTGCTTGCAGTTAACCCCAGCACAGATAAGCATAGGTGAGGTAATGGATATATAAGTGAATGTATTGTGTTAGAAGGGCAGTTTGCGGCACGATTTGTGTATGCGTATCTTGGAGAGATCCCCAAACGTTTTGATACTTTTTTGGTTATGTGTTGGATATTGTTGCTGAAGTTCAGGTTTGTTGACGAGGTATAGGCCTAGGAATTTGCCCCTCATTAGCCTGTAAATTTAGAGTGTTGTCGATCATAATGTTTAATTTGCGCACTCCAGCTCTGCTACCAAACCATAATGTAGTAGGTTTTGTCAACGTTAAGCGATAAGTTTATTGGCTGTCATCCAAGTCGATAGTTTGAACTGCTCCCTCATTAACATTTTGATATTGAGGGTTGCAAGATTATTGTGAGAGATGACATAAGTCGTGTGCGTTCAGCAAAGAGAATGGGTTCCAGGTGTCGAGATACGTGGAAGATCATTGATGTATATGAGGAAGAGCAGATGGAACCAAGGTGACACTTCCCTGCAGAACTCCAGTATACAAGTGGCTGTGGTTGTGTGATGCAGTGTCTTTAATGGTGACTACTGATACCATTAGTAAGACAGATTTGAATATTGCACGCGCATGGCCACTTATACCAGCATGGTCCGAAGTTTGTGAGTGAGGATGCCGTGGTCTACTGAGTTCCAAAAGCTTTTCCTGTAGTCAATAAAATTTCCTAGTGGATATTCCCTTATTTTCCAAATGCTGTGTAAAGCAGATCTAGCATTTTATAAATGCATCATTAGTGCTTTATTTTTCTGAAATCCAAATTGGCAGGGTTGAGTATGTTTTTGTGACGTTTAAATGAATATAGACTTCCTGTGCACGAGTTTGCTACAAAGATTTAGGGATAGCAAGGTAAGTTGATATAGCCTATAGTTGTTTAAATCTGAAGGTCACCACCTTATATGTATTGGTGTAACCTTCGACCGTCTTGCAGTAGTTTCGGGAAGGTGCTAGCTTCTAGAGACTTTTAAAAGCAATGAGATAAGTATTCCGAGAGGACATGGCCACTTTCTTGTACAATAATTTGGGACATAGACAGATACCCGGAGTTATTTTTAGTGACTTTATAATCTCGTGACATCCGTGGGCTCAGTTGGAGCAAGATACTAAGGAATTTGGGAAATTCCCATCTAGGTATCCCCGCATGGCATTGGTATGTGGGATATTTATTGGCGAGATTAGAACCTATGGTTGAAAGGAGTCGTTACTTGTTTAGCTGTGGTCGGTGGGTTTCAGTGGTGATGTCATTAGGTTTAGTTCGGAACAATATTCTTGTTTTTTTTCAGTTTTGTGGTCCCTATAATCTGAGAGTGTTTTCCCCAGTCCTTTTTATATCTCCTCTGTGTCGTGAATCTACGGAGTATATAGTTTTTGATTACATTATTACTTTGAGTGAGGACCGATGAATAGTGTAAAGAATATCTTTGTGAATTAAGCCCTGCCTATATATTGCTTTTCATATGGTGTTTTCTTATCAATGGATTTTCAGAATGGTGCAGGTTAGCCATGGCAACCAAGCCATTTGTTGTGTGATCTGTTTCGCTTATAATAGGACAAGTGTTTTGTTGTATACTAAGTAGTTTAAGAAAAATGTCTGTCCATCTTCAATACATTGCCTTGGAGAATTCTTAGGCCAGACACAGTCTCTAGTCCAGCTGGTGAACTTCCTTATTGAGGCCTCATCATGGAGTCTACATGAGACTTTGTTGTATTCAGTGGTGGTTTACTAATGTTTGTCAGAGGAAGGTAGGGTAGTGTCTGTAGTGCTAACGTGAATAACCCTGATTATAAGGTTGGTCTAGTAAAAAGGTCTATATGTGTCTATTATGGTTGCACTTGTTCAGTTGAGCCTGTGTTGGTTTAGTTATTGTCGGTATGAGAAGTGTGTTGTTTCATATTGTAGATGAAATCAGTTACAGCAGATCATCTAGTAGGCCAAGGTTGATGTTGAAGGACTCCAGCTAAGATAAGGTGGTGCTTATTCATTTGTCTGTTTGTTATTAGTGGCCTTAATTCTCACTGAAGTTAGGGATTTATTTTGTGGGGTAACCGGTAAATGGCACCGATTGTTTTTATAGGCGTCTTAAGGTTTTTTTACAGTAAAATTAGCAAAAATGTATTCCACCATATACAACACTAAAGCATTGGTGCTGATACAAGATAATTGGTTAGAGTAATAGTTGCGAAACCACCCACAACTTGGATGGTCTGCAGTTGTGATAGCTGTAATCCTGTAGAGGGTAATATCTATTGTGTCCTTTTGTAGCTCAGGTCTCGGTAAGAATAATGCCAGGAGAAGTTGTC